AACACATGAATTTTCTACACAAAATCGATGCTAACCCTGAACAACAGTGAACTTGAAACTGGAGAATTAGCTTTTATTTTCTCTGTGTGCAATGCGCTAGAATTTCCAAAAGATTATAGTTGTTAAACAGCACTATAAACGGATGAACTTATTCCCGGGAGGCCGTCAAGGGAACCATTAACAGAATTGATTGTTGGTGCATACGTTTTAGGTCTCTGGGCTATGGTGATAATCCTTTTACCACCAATGTTCGTAATGGATTAAATGCGTAAATGAGACTTTCYATATTTACATCATCCTTCTATCTTTGGATTCATAATTCTCCACCTGTCCTTAAATACGCACGTCCTTCGGGACTGTGTCTCACGACAACAGTATTAGATTTCACTCCCTCGAGGAGCTTGTAAAGCCATCTGTCGTTCAGTTTAGTGCTTTTTTATTATCCTTTCACATGTGGGTGCAAACTCTGTCGGAGCGTTTTTAATGCTGTTTAATCCTGCAAACTGAACATATCATCTAGACGCCATTATATAACTCTAGGGTTTATGAATAATGCTCCTGTTGATCAACGCGTGGCGTAGCCTGCGTTCCTCGGTGTTCAGCGGTGGTTGCGCGAAGAAGAGAAGAAAATGGGCGATACGCTTGGTGATGCCATGTTTTTACCCAGAAGTCTCTGCAAGCAAGGCTACCAGCGGCTATCTTTTTTATACATCAGGACACAGTGCTCGCTCAAGGCAGTGTGAGGTATGTGATTTATAGTGTGCGAAAGTAGAACCATCGAATCAAGGGAGACAATGCAATACAATACAATACAACCTTTATTTACATATACTGGGAGAAGAATAATACATAAAAACATTTAGTACTAGAAATCTATTTACAATCATGCAGGATGTATATATTTACAAAGAAAAAAATAGATACTAGAATTAGTGTTTGAGCCTGAGGGTTAAATTAACTATAAGCTTTCTAGTTAACCCCCAGCTATTTTATGTTGTTATTTAAAATCAGATATAAGGAAGGAATGATAAATAAAGGAAAGATACAAGACACCAAGTCTAACGAGATCTTCTTTATTTAGTAAGTCACCCAAGTCGGTGATGTAACAATACAGTACAATTTGTTTCTTTTTCGGTCATTCCTGTAACTTCGTGTGATTATTAATATGACGCGCGCGCATGCGTCATTACTTTAATATAAATCCCTACATTCTTTGCGGCATTTATTGCATGGATTTTGATTTCATTTAGAAATTCCGTTCACAACATTTCCCCGACACTTGAAATGGTTTATTTTATTGAAAGGTAACTCGGTCTATAATCGAAAATTTCAAACCGGAAAATCCTAATTTAAGGTCAACATAAACAAACATGCAAAGCGACTGGTGCTCTTGAATATCAAGTCAAAATTCAATTCTTGCCGTTATTATATTTTGAAAACAAAAATGACAAAAACTGATTTATTTCGGAAAAACAATTTCGTAATTCTATTTGATCTTTAATTGATATCGGAGTTCGCACAACCATTTTATTCTGTTTTTGATGTTAATGCTTCGTTTTTTTCTCAGACTTGAAAAAACACTGTTAGCTGCAGAAGATATTTATAGGTTTCCACTCAGTCGTTTCACAGTGAGAAAGTGGGCGCGCATTTAAAAAAAATTCAATAGTGTTTCCTTACATTCAAAACCACTTCAATATGAGCAGTGTTAAATTGTATCGTTTTAGATCTCGCTGTGGTTAAAGTGAAAAATAGCTACATTCTTCACAGTTGGGCTTCTAGTTGTTTGTCAAGGTTGTCCTGCAAGGTATTTTTAAGTCTTTCCTTGAAAGAGATCTGATATTGTTTTTCATACTAGAATAGGTCTCAAAGCGATAAAACTCTCGAAAATGATATAGGGTAATCAGATTTGAAATTTATTATATACAGATTTGCACGGCTTTAGACGCAAATAGGATACTATTACTTTTCCGTTGCATTAACGATCCAAAAACAAAAACATTCTTGCCCTCTCAACCGAAAAATTACTCAAGAATTCGAGTTCAAAAAAACCGCTTAAGGCTGTATGATATAAATAAAAACTCCAAATCATTGTTTACGGTCATGCATATAAAATAAATTCATTTCACAGATTATTTYCTTAAATAATTAGCATATTATCGGCAACAGGATTGTTAATCCAGCGGTTTCTGCTCAAAGGATTGACTTTGTCTGCAAACATTTAGTGATAACTGTGTTGGAAAACGACTTGTCGGAAAGCTGTACGTTCAATGGTTTGGTAAGTTGAATAAGTAGATAAGTAATTTTGAGTAGAATACGAAGGAGAAAGGGGAAAAAATCAGTGCTAAGCGGTCTTAACCATGGCTTAAGTATCTTCAGATCTTTGTTTACTTCACCAGAAATCAATTCAAGCTTTAAGCCTTGGTGTATCATTTAAAGATGTTTACCAATGGACTTCTTCACGCTATTGATCTTCTGTTTTTGATTCCAAAATAGAATTATCACGATAATCTCTTTGTGTAAAACTCATACTGAGACCAAAAGTCGCTCGCCCTTTTAGCTGTGGTTTTAAAATTTCAGATTTCCTATATTATATTACAAGTACAACGACATAATTTTTCAAACAGT